ATCACCTCTTACGTACAAGGCCAGCCACGTGGATGACAGGTTGAGCGCTGGCTGCCCCCATCCCCGTGTGTCACAAGGACCCACTTGCACGCAGCCAAAAGGCAAAGAGGTAAAGAAAAGGAGGAGGAAACCTCCCACAGATAATCCAATTGTCACAAAGCAAATAACACATCCCACAGATCAACATATTATTTCTTTTTCCTTACTTTCTTATCTTCTTTTTTTCTCTTTTTTTCTTTTCTATCTTGTTTTCTCTTTTTCTTTTTTTCTTTTTTTCTTTTTTTCTTTTTTTCTTTTTTTCTTTTCTTCTTCAACTGTTCCCACCTCGGCAGATAGGACAGCTACGGTGAGATGTGGATGTTCACAAGGATACCCAAGGAGAGTTGCGCCAGCACAGCATTCAGCAGGACAGCTAGCACGAACCATCCCATCAAAACAGTCCTGACAGAGGACATGTGGACAGCAGGACGTTCATCACAGTGCGGCATCATGCAGTTCTGATAGCATCCTTGGGCACAAAAGGGACAAAGTATATCTGGGTGATAGGGATGTGTACAATGAGGAAATGTTGGACAGCTTCAGCACAGACCGCGGTAGTCGCAATAGATTGGTAATGGCTATGGCATAGATGATGCATTCCACAGCCAAGGCGCACCGCGTCTCTGCCCCGACAGGTGTCACACGAGAGTCAGTCAATAATCCAAAATAAAGTATGATTCGACAATGCACCCAAAAATTCATTTACATCAAAAATAGCCTGACTCATCCTCCCACCATCCCACAGTTCCCACTGCGCAGCTGCACGAATGAGTGTCATATAATGCCCGGGTCTGTGTAAAATGCAGGCAGAAATATGAGGATGGTTATTGAGGTCATCGCCTGGCGTCGCATGATGCATAAGAAGGTGGCGACCGTGGAATGCTACCGGTAGTTGTAAGACATTTACAGTAAAGCCTCCTGAGGTAGTATAGTTACTTCAGGCCTTCAGGAGGTGGACTATTATGATCATACAACAACTGATTTTCAACAGCGTCAAGCTGATAAGCAATCGTAACAAATTGGGATGCAGTATAACATTGACGCTGATAAGCCTGTAGGCAGACATTTGTGCCTGTCAAACCACAAATATTTGATAGGTCTGCCCGCAGATCCAAATCGGTCACCACTGGAAAGCTAGATCTGATCTGGCGGGGTCAACGCGTAAATGACGAACGCGGTCGGCGTGGCAGAACAGGCTGCCGGTAAGACAAAGAACCCTGCAGATTACCATCAACACGACGTCGAGAAAGAGGGGGACTGGGAGGAGGAGAGAATGAACGAGCCTGCCAACGTCCCAATATGGACAACAAAGATAAGGGAGGGTCAGGTCTCAGCCGGCGTGGGGAAGAAGAAGAAGAAGAAGAAGGAGGAGGAGGAGGAGGAGGAGGAGGAGGAGGAGGAG